CATTGATATCTTAGGCATTTGTGAACTGAAATGGACTGGTATTGGCCATTTTAAATCTGACAACCACATGGTTTACTATGCCGGGAATGACAAATTGAAGAGGAATGGTGTTGCGTTCTTCGTCAAAAAAGAACATATCCAGATCAGTCATGAGGTACAATGCTATCTGTGATAGGATAATATCCATGTGCCTACAAGGAAGCCCAGTTAATACCACTATTATTCAAATGTATGCACCAACCACTAAAGCCAGTGAGGATGAAATAGAATTCTACCAACTTCTTCAATTTGAAATTGATCAAACATGCAACCAAGATGTATTGATCATTACTAGTGATTGGAATGCAAAGGTTGGAAACAAAGAGGAGGGATCAGTGGTTGGAAAATATGGCCTTGGTGATAGAAATGATGCTGGAGAACGCATGCAAAAATTCTGCAAAACCAATGATTTGTTCATTTCAATACCTTCTTTAGACAGCATAAGAGATGACTACACACATGGACCTCACCAGATGGAATACATAGAAATCAAATTGACTACATCTACGGGAAGAGATGATGGAAAAGTTCCATATCATCACCGAAAACAAGGCAAGGGGCAGACTGTGGAACAGACCATCAATTACTCATATGCAAATTCAAACTGAAGCTAAAGAAAATGAAAACAAGTCCACGAGAGCCAAAAATATGACCTTGAATATTGTTGTTGTTGTTGTTGTTGTTAAGTGCCGTCAAGTTGGTTCTGACTCATAGCAACCCTGAACAGGGTTTCTGAAGCTGTAAATCTTTACAGGAGCAGAATGCCTCATCTCTCTCCCATGGAGCAGTTGGTAGTTTTGAACAGCTGACCTTGTGGTTTGCAGCCTGATTCGTAACCATTATGGTACCAGAGCTCCTTGACCTTGAATATATCCCACTTGAATTCAGAGTCTTCTGAAGAACAGATTTGATACATTAAACACTAAAGACCAAAGACCAGAAAAGTTGTGGGATGACATCAAGAACATCATACTGAAAGAAAGCAAAAAGTTATTAAGAAGACAAGAAAGAGGGAAAACGTCAAAATGGATGTCAGAGGAGACAATGAAACTTGCTCTCCAGCATAGAGATTCTAAAGCAAATGGAAGAAATGAGGAGATCAGCTTCAGAAGATAAAGATCAGCTCCAGAAGATAAAGATCAGCTCCAGAAGATAAAGTCAAATATTACAACAAAGTATGCAAAGTTCTGGAATCAGAAAACCAAAAAGGAAGAATACACTCAGTATTTCTCAAGCTGGGGGAACTGAAGAAAAAAATTCAAGCTTCACTTTCGTTATTGAAAGATTCTCTGGGCAAATTACTGAATGATGCAGAAAGCATCAAGAGAAGATGGAAGGAATACACAAAGTCACTGTACCAAAAGGTTCATGTTCAACCATTTCAAGAGGTAGCATATGATCAAGAGCCAATGATAGTGAAAGAAAAAGTCCAAGGTGCATTGAAGGAATTGGCAAAGAACAAGGCACCGGGAATTTATGGAATGAAAATTGAAATCTTTCAAGAAAGTGAGGCAACACAGGGAGCACTCACTCATCTCTGCCAAGAAATTTGGAAGACAACTATCTGGCCGACTGATTGGAAGAGATCCATATTTGTACCCATTCCAAAGAGAGGTGACCCAATGGAATAAGGAAATTATTGGACAAATCTCTTTGATATCACATGCGAGTAAAGTTTTGCTAAAGCTAATACAGAAACGGCTACAATCATACATTGACAGAGAACTTCCAGAAGTTCAAGCTAGATTCAGAAGAGGCTATGGAATGAGGGATATCATTGCTGATGTCCAATGGATCTTGGCTGATCGACTATGCAAAAGCTTTCGATTTTGTGCTATGGACAATATTGCGAAGTATGAGTATTCCAGGATACTTAATTGTGCGACTGAGGAATCTGTACCTGGACCAAGAGGCAGTTGTTCGAACAGAACATGGGACACTAAATGTTTTAAAATTAAGAAAGGTGTGTGTCAAGGTTGTATTCTTTCACCAT